ATTCTTTTTTTTTTTATAATTTCTAAAATTTAACGTAATCCAAACGAAAATTATTTTTCTTTTACATTTCAAATGATGACCATCAGTTAAAAATTTTTATTGTTTCTGATATTATTCTAGATCTGCCACCTTTTTTAGCAAGTGGAAGAATTTTTCATAAATCACTACCTAAAACTTTTTGCAATTATTCATTACCGAATTGTTATTCCGAGGATGGGCTTTTAATACAGTCTAACTATTGATAATTGAAATGTTTGATGACTTATCATTTCCTTCAAAAAATAGATTAAGGAAATACTAGTCCACGCCATAATCAAAACTTCTTTTTAAACAAAATTATAAATTGAAGTTTTATACAAAAAAAATCTGACTTAGATCTGACTTAGTACTAATACAGATATGAAGTGCACTAAGTTATAGAATTATAGAAACCGTAGAAGTATTATTGACCTACCTCTTACAGACCCTTATCAAATCTCAAAAAGACTGAATTTCCCTGTCCCTTCTTTCAGTATATCTAATTTAAGAAGTCCTACTGTCTCTTATTTATTCTTTCGACTCATATACGTATCATAGAATAGCTCTTAAAACATTTTTAATAAGAAATTAGTCTACATGTATGGATATACATTTATATATACTCATACTAGTAGGGATCCAACTCTGCGACGCGCTTGGGGGAATTTTTCTATAAGCTACAGAACAGGTATTTCCTGAATTTACTGTACGCAGTGTTGTTAAAGTAGATGCTTGCTTGGTGGAAAATTTAAGTATGTACAAAAATCAAGTATCACAAATACATTTAATATATTCTCATAATTATATACTCCATACATTTTAAACGTTAAGATTTTATGTCGGTATTAATAAGTTAAAATTATTAATAATCAAATTTATTATCATGTATCATATAGAATCCATCTAAATAAACGAAAAATATTGTATACGTGATCAATTGTAGTTGTTTGCCGAAATGTTAATATCAATGGTATCGTTAGCAACTTCGGCACATAAAAATGCAAAGCATTAGTTTACTAGAAAATTAAAAAATAAAGTCTGGCAAGTTATGTCATGAATATATTATAAAGCCACCACATATCGTTTGATTCGCCATACATTATATTTGGCAGTATACTTATTTCAACTCGTAAGATCGATTTTTTCTTATCAGCCTACTTATATACAAGAACAATTTTTGTGTTCACATTAATCAAAATATTATACAGAAGTTATTTTGAGTAGTGGTAATATCAAGATAAAAGTATGGTTATGGTATAATCAAAAGTTTTTGTACGTAGAATCCCACTATGGTATAAAAAACTTGACGTTTTGAAGTCGATTTTTGCAATGAGAAAAATATTAGTCAATAAACTGATTTTTATTTCGTGCACACACCATTATTTGAAAGGACTAAAATACAGTACAAATTTCGAAGATTTGTACAGTATTTCTTAAAAAATAGTTTGATTTGTTACGTACTTTAAAGCAGAACTGCCAGATTATCTGTAGTAGAAACTGCCACAAGAGGCCGCTAAAACCACCCAAAACCGTATGCAACTCAAAAGCTGTAAACCACACAGGATTGCAATAGTCTCGCCTTAAAACCGCATTAATTGGTTCATTAAAAATAAAAATCTGTAATTTAAGTTTTATCGACCCCAAGCCATCTCAATCAACACAATTCAAAGGAATATAAAGCTTAAATCTTGTGATTATGTGCCGAAAATATCCATCGTCGTGTTAACCCACTGACGGCGCCCCCCTAATGGATCTTATAGGAGCCCAGACCTGTGGACAGGTATCAATTTAAAGTTGTCGCGGGAATATTGGTGAACTTGAGGTACTGTGAAAACGATTAAGGAAGAAATTTTGTATTATTTACCATGGCAAATAGGAAAAAAGTATTTTGTCACGTACCTAACTACGGTAATAAATCATCTGACAATGGAATAATATTTCACTTATTACCAACAAACGAAAGCATTCGTAACCAATGGATTGATAAGTGTGACTTAACCAATAAAGTTACGAAGTCTACGTACATATATTATGTAGTGAACACTTCACCAATAACGATTACTTTCAAAGTAATGTCATTATACTAGGTAAATATCTAATATGTTTGACTGACAACTGTTTTTTTGTTTTTTTATCCTTTTTTTTCGTTCATTCTTCCACTTCTCGTCATTTTGCATTCTTGTCATCACATTTACTAAAACAGCTTGTTGAATGGATACATTAACATATTTTAGGTAGAATCATTTTTCATCACAGTCTAAAGATGAAAATCTGGTAATATTCATGCGGTAAGACTTAGTAATATCGATTGCATAAAGAATCGAATTTTTTGTTATGGGAAAATAAATTTTCGCACTTAAAATAATTGTACAATCTTCCTCAGATAGAAAAATTTTGGGAGTTGTAATACTACAAGAAGCTGAAACATTATTACTAGTATTAGCTTTTAACTTGTTGACCATACCGCTTGGATTACCTACAAATAAATATTTATTTGTTTATTGACATTTGCGTTTGTTAAATGAAAAAAGTGGCTACGACGCATGCCTTCCAACAGAATTTGCTGACACTGCATTAATTGACTAGAAGAATTCACCGGAACTTTGTACTTTGGGTCTTTCACAGTCCCATGACAAAAACTTGAGACTGGAATTGTTTCGTACATTGATCGTACTTCTTTTTTGGATTGTTTTCCCCAAGTTTGTGCAATATCGGCGCACGTTGCTTTTCCAATATTGGTTTTCTCATGCCTGTCGTTTCATTTGTTCATTAAATTACTAATAGAAAATTAGAAAATATTTGTTTACATTTTGTTAACCTCTAAGTACCTTGTTAAATAAATAAGTGAACCAATGATGTGTTTGCATTGTCCACCTTGCCCAGCCTTACAAGAACAAACGCATTTAATGCAATTTTCTGAGTCCTTTTTCATGATATTGACGTTTAACTCGTGTGGTGTGCTAAACAGATCACTGGATTTTAAACATAAAAAAAATCAAATTTGTCTCTTCTAAGCTTTCCAATGTGACTCCACAATACATCAGGTGATTAGCGTTCATAATATTTTCACCCTCTTCGTACTTTCGCACCCCATTCCCTGCATATTTAAATAAATCACTAACATTTAAAAAATAATTACTCATGACAGCCTACGCTCCCGCGACAACTTTAAACTGATACCTGTCCACAGGTTCGGGTTCCGATAAGATCCATTAGGGGGGCGCCACCAGTGGGTTAACACGACGATTAAAATACAAAATTTAATGTTGATTACATAGGTAGATGAGGAAATCCAATCCAATTTTGCCTTTACGCGTACCATAAAAAAATTAAATTTTTTTTCAAGGCACACCTTTGAGATAAATTTTTTCTTGTTCTATATACCCTCAATGGCAAGGGAAAAATCGTGTACATGAACTTTAGGCTTTGTGACACGGTTTTTCCTGGCACAGAAGATTATAATATTCATTTTTTGGAAAATTTTATGTTGATAGTTTATTATCTTAAATTAAATATTATACATAACATTAAAAGTATCATAATAAATAACTAAAGATTATAAATAATACATTTATTAGACATCACAGTCATTTCCTTGTAGTCCGGTAGTTGAAGCACGAAAAAATAGTGAATAAGAAAATTTCTGTCACCTGGAACGGAATCGTTTTAATCGCTTACAAATATAGTCTAGTTATTGAAAAAAATATTTTTGTCCGCCAAAAGCATCGGCTTCAATTCTTATTTAACAAATTGTGAAAATTAATCGAATTTTTTTAACATTTTGACTCATAACTTCTTTTCTGTTGGTCTAATTGAAAAAAGTACTGAAGCAAAATTGTTCGTGATAAAATTTTCTATCGATTNAGCGTTGGGTTAGGCGGATTCAATATCGGAACTTTTTCCCTAGATCGTATGTATAGCTATACCCTCATGACCCGGGGCGCTAACTGGCCACTCTGTTAAATAAATAATTATTAAAATAACACAAGCGCCTATCACTCAGTGGGTGATAGGCACTTGTGTTATTAATATTACAATTTTGAATTTCCGCGTGTCTTTGGCAATGCCCCTTCACTGCTGTGCTGTCTGCTCGACGGAACATTCTCCCTGGATCGTATAGCTATTTATACGATCTAGGGAAAAAGTTCCGATATTGAATCCGCCTAACCCAACGCTGTATGTAGGGTAGGGGAGCCATATGGCTCTAGAGCTTCCTAAGCCATACGCTAAAGTCCCCAGGAAGGACTCTAGAACTCTAGATCCCCAAATCCCTACCTCTCAACACCACGTACCCAGGCAGTATTGGGATTCCAAAGGGTCACATGACTCTCGCGATGTACATATAGTCACTTGGGGGAAAAATAACACAGGCCTTGCAGGTGCAATTCTATTTTTTTTTTTTTTTACACGTTCAACGGCTGTAATACGATAAAAGCCTTTCAATAACATATTTTTGAGGAGATGACAATACCTTAACTATTTTTTCCTAACTCAATTAGTCTTTTGCAGCTTAAAACTTTCCTTTGAAAGTACGAAAACGCACATTTAACCTGAACAAAGTTCTCCCGTTCCTAACTATGTGTAGTTGGACAGCGGATTTCTTGTTGTTATAATTTATACAAGTATCTGTCTCAATTTTTAAAGTGGATAATAAAAGTCAGAGTGCTTTTACCATTTTGTATTATTTTTTAAGATAAATTTTAGAATTGTTTTAAACAATGTTCCCTCAACTGACATGTGGATTTTTAATTTATGACGTATTAAATAGATGTGAAATTTGAATTGTTGTCAATAATTCATTTTTGGGTAAATTGATTATGTTTAGTTCTATTTTGACAAAAACAACAATTATAACTTGTCATTACAGAAGCCAAATGCCTAAACGCCTCAAAATGTGCGATGGATTAGTTACTAAATTTTTTTCCAGTATTAACTGAGTTTTAGTGGTAGAATGTAATACAAATAATAGTTTAAAAGCGTTCTTAAGATTAAAAAATTATTTTATTGACTGTCTCACAAGCGATGAAATAAAAATCATATTAATTAGGGTGTCATACAGGATTAAAACGACTTAAATGTAATTAAATGACTGATAGTACAATTGTGTTCTCACGTTTGACATTTTGTTCTCATTAACTTTACATACTATTTTTTATATTTATTTTTAATGTATTATCGAACTATATTATGCATGTATGAGTACATGCGCTAATACATACATATAAATATATGTGTATTTGTATAGTTGTACTTAGTTACTCATTTATGTATTAATGTATGCTTTGTAGCCAAAATTAAAAACAATAAAAGATGTAAAGGGAGATTTGGCAAGACATGTGGAACAAGTATACATGTGTGTTTACTTTTATGTGTATATAGTGTGTATATATTGCAAATGCAAGTACATTGTATTGCATTGTATATTCATACATATGCCGTATTTTTCTCATAATGACGTATGAATACCTTAAACAAGAAAATAGAGTATCACTTAAGGCATCGCTGAAAATAATTTTGTCCTACATAACCTCCTCGCATTGCTTTAGCTACATTCTGCTCAAACACTCTACGATTATTTTGCAACACTTCAGCTGCATCCTTGTTCAATGGATCCTCTGGATTTGGCTCCTAAACAAAAATAATGGATCAATCAGATTCTCCACGACATAATATTATTAAAGGATGCAATTCAAAAGAGTGTGCTATAATTGATGAATTTTAGGAACTTAACATCTCGTTTGACAAAACAACAAATAATTGAACTTAGATTAATAGCTTTAAAGAGTTGGTAGAGTGCTTTGATGTTTCATTAATTTAATTTGATTAATGTAAGTGGGTGAGCTGGAAAGATGATATTTCATCTAATTTTGATGTATTTTATAATAAAAAAAGAGAGGAAGAGAGGGAAAATTGACTTGCCAAAAATAGATACTGAAGTCCATAAACAATGGAATTAATTGTGAGGACAGGTTTCCAGTCTTCTCTAAGAATGTTAAGACATACATTTCCCTCCAAATCAATATTTGGGTGATATACCTGAGTTTCACATTTAACCTTAGGTGGCTCATGTGGATAGTTAGGCCCGACCTTGAAACTAAACACAAATCTGCCTCCTTTGTAAAATCCCTGCAATGAGGATAAGTATGACTGTATATGGATTGGACATAAAGGTAAAAAAACTACAAATAAGCAGAGTTGTAAATCTATAACAAAAAAACTAACCTCATCAGGACAGATAATAAGTTTAAAGTTCAATAAATCATCAGAATCTGGGAACTCGGTTCCACAAGTCTTTGGAAGATTAAGTTCGTTTATGTCTGAAAAATAATTATATTGTGCAAGATCTTTAGTCAAAAGATGATATGCTTCTTTACCTTTCTGAATTCTCAGTTGGGCTGCAGAGGCCTTTTTTTGAGAGCCACTTTTTGGCGATTCGCCATCCTTTTTAGCATTTTTAAGTGAGAATAGCTTTATCATACTTAATGCGGTCGAAAAGGAAATGGACTGTAAAACCTCTGTTCTCTCTCGCTGTCTTTTTCACACAAAAAGTAGGAGTTCGTCTTTTAAGCACATAAGACGGTACAACCACTGCTAATTTATGATACAACTTTCGAGACCCCGGACTCCTATATTATTACTGCAATAATAACAATAGTAATACAAATAATCCTAAAATATTTCGTCAATCTACAGATTTTACATTTGTCGTATGCACGTGTACCACTAAATTTGTTTTTTTTTTTTTTTTTGTTACCACAGAAGTACAACACAAATGTGAATTGAATAAGTGCAAAAACAGTACCATGCCATTGGACAATGCTACAATGCACATATATAAACACCTGACATCTCTCACATTATGTATCTTACCGTAATCTTTTAAAGTAGGACAGTAGACAGTACGTATATAAGTTCGTATAACTTATTGCGAATTGGGATCAGCAACCTAGCAGTCGCGCCATCTGTTATCGAGTTTGTAAGCAGGCAAGCAGCAAAGCAGCGAGAGAATTCAGACAATGCTTTTAGGCCGCAGTCACATGGAACGGTAGAGGGTAGAGGTTCACAGTAGCGGTATGAGCTGTATGTAGGCAGCGTTGGGTTAGGCGGATTCAATATCGGAACTTTTTCCCTAGATCGTATGTATAGCTATACCCTCATGACCCGGGGCGCTAACTGGCCACTCTGTTAAATAAATAATTATTAAAATAACACAATCTACTATCATAGGTGATAGGCGCTTGTGTTATTTTAATAATTATTCATTTAACAGAGTGGCAGCATATAGGTGTTAGCAATCTCTCTACTCATCTTTGCCGCGATACTCCCTACTACACTTTCCTCATCTTCCCGGTCGGATGGTTTCGGTAGGACTTGATAAAAAAAAATTTTATCTGGACACATGTGTGTCTTTGCACGCAAACCTGGTTTAACGATTAGTGTTATACCTATAAATATTCCAGGATAATTGTATATCAGCAGTATAGGTTGATATAACGTTTACACATAGCTCTAAAAAACAAAATATTTTTTTCTGGTATGAATGCATGACCTATAATGTTGTATAGATTTTTCAAAGTATGTATAGAATCAACAGGAAATGTTATCACGTCTTATGAGTTTAATTAGACCACTAAATTATGTATCAGGATGCATCAAATTTTGACGATTTATAATGTTGTATAGGGACATTAAATGTTTGTTACGTTCATCGCAAGATCATATACTTACCTATTTTACCTGTTATTTGACTGTTAGAAATACATTTGAATAATATGGAATATATGTACTACATCAGGTTTTACTGTGAAAATGCATATTTGATCATATAGAGTATCAAAATCAACTTTACGTGTTAATCAGGGTTTANATACGATAAAAGCCTTTCAATAACATATTTTTGAGGAGATGACAATACCTTAACTATTTTTTCCTAACTCAATTAGTCTTTTGCAGCTTAAAACTTTCCTTTGAAAGTACGAAAACGCACATTTAACCTGAACAAAGTTCTCCCGTTCCTAACTATGTGTAGGAAAACAAGCAGGATTTTGGTAAGGTTAAATATGCGTTTTCGCACTTTTAAAGGAAGGTTTTAAGCTGCAAAAAACTAATTCAGTTAGGAAAAAATAGCTAAGATATTGTCATCTCTTCAAAAATATGTTATTAAAAGGCTTTCATCGTATTACAATCGTTAAGTGTGTAAAAAAAATAAAAATATAATTGCACCTACAAAGCCTGTATTATTTTTCCCCTAAGTGACTATATATATCGCGAGAGTCACGTGACCTTTTGGAATCTCAATAGACATTTGTCAAGAAAGTCGAATAATCATAGTATAGCCTTTGATGTGTACCAAAGACCTCGGCTTGCCTCGGCTTACCTCGGCTACACTAGAGCAGAGATAAATAGAGAGATTGCTAAGTTGCTAACGCCTCTGCTACGATGCGAGACGACTTTTTGGCACTGATCAAAGCGCCCTGCCGCGGCCAGCCGTCGAACCGAGCGCACATCTCAGTACTCATATGGGACAGCATGCGCCTACGAGAAGAGGAGTGGATTCGCGTGGAAATGGTCATATAGGCGCACATTTTGGAGAGACGTGGAAGGGGTATACCGAATTTGTGTCTAAGAGGAGAGGAATGGAAATATTAATTGACTATAGCTAAATATATGAGCGCACAGCCAAAGCAAGCGATAACACGAGATTTTCTCTTTTGACTGCAACTGACTATATGCTATATATATTTAACTGATTTTTACCCTCGCTCATTTTTCTTTATTTTTATCTTTTTTTTTAGTTATAACGAAATATCGCGTATACCATGCTATCCGCAAAAGCACTGCATATACGATTCCCCGCACAGTGTACTATATGGGGTATTACGCGTCATTCATTAACATGCTTCATTAATGGTGTTTGGTGTTTCTTAAGAGAAAGATAGGAATAAGAGAATATATAATAAACAAACAAATAGCTAGAGACCATAAACCACGCTCTGCTACCAATTTTGTTAAATAAC